TACCTTATTGTGGTTTTGATTTACATTTGTCTGGTGCTTAGCTTTTGGATATTTAATAGGGACCTTCTCAAGCTTTTTGTGAAATAATGTTTACAAGGTCAGTCATTGCCCTGCTCAATAAACTGCAGCAGTTGTCCTGATGTTGAAGGAAAGGAAAATGCTTTTTGAACACTTTGGTCTAGTGTTTCCTGGGTAAGTGGGGTCTATATGGGGCCTCCGTCATCTCAAGAGTGTCCTGGTGTGAACAATAAGTGATTTAGTCACCCTAACTTACAATTATTTGAGAACCTAATCTATGCCCCCCAACTGTTAGGTAATTTTTGAGGGTAGAGAGTGATGGGTGTGATACTTATCTTCACAGGGTTAGTAGTGAGTTTTTTTAAAAACTAAAATATGAGCATTTATTGAACAATTAAATTCTAAACTATATGATCCTAAAAATACTGTTAGTGTAGAGTTCTTGGTGGAATTGATAAGAGGGGAATTTGGGCCTTGAAGTACATGTCCTATGTATACAGGTCCGTTATTCTTGCTGTTACCTTTTCTCCTCATTATCCAGTCTGAAGCCCAATTTATTTATTTATTTTTGTAGTTTTAAAACATTTTTAATTATGGATACCTAGTGGTTATATATCTTTATAGTGTACATGTGATGTTTCAGTATAAGCCTACGATGTGAATTGATCCAGAGTAATTGGGGTATCCATCACCTTTGGCATATAGCATTTCTTTCTGTTAGGAATCATTAGGTTCTGTTTTTTTAGTTAAAGTGTACTCTAACTTACTGATTATAGTCACTTTGTTGTGTTATCATATATCATTCATTCTATCCATCTAACTATATTATTGTACCCATTCACTGTCTCTGCTTTATTCTCCTCCCACTGCCTTTCCCAGCCTCTGTTAACCATCATTATACTCCTTTGTCTCCATGAAATCAATTATTTTTAATATTTAGCTCCCCCATACAAGTGAAAACATTTCACATTTGTCATTCTTTACTTGGCTTATTTCACTTAACAATGTTCTTATCCATGTTGTTTCACATGGAAGAATTTTTTCCTTTTTGTGTGATGCCCATCTTTTAGATATAAATTCCTTTATACTCTATTCATTGGAGAGGGGCATTAGATAAATAGTTATCTAAGGTATTCTGTGTATCAGAACATGCTTCCCAATTTTGGTAGCTTTTACTTACAAGATTTGTTTTCGGTTCGGAGCCTGTGGCTCAAGTGGCTGGGGCGCCAGCCACATACACCTAGGGTGGCGGATTTGAGTCCAGCCTGGGCCTGCCAGGCAACAATGATGGCTGCAACCAAAAAAAAATGACCAGGCATTGTAGCAGGCGCCTGTGGTCCCAGCTGCTTGGGAGGTGGAGGCGGGAGACTCGCTTGAGCCCAGGAGTTGGAGGTTGCTGTGAGCTGTGATGCCACGGCACTCTACCCAGGGGGACAGCTTGAGGCTCTGTCTCAAAAAAAAACAAAGGTCTGTTTTCTAGCTCTGGTTATTCTCCTCTTTGCCTATGTTAAAGTTTCCAGTACATTTTTCCTTTCATTATTGAGTCTTAAAATGCCATACAGTTACTTCTCTGGTTAACTTTTGATCTGCAGTGTCCAGAATAGTGGGAGAAAAAAAGCAGCATTCCTACACCTACTTTGTGTTCCTTATTGAATATTTCATGGTAAAATTTTCGAAAGAAGCTATGTTCAAAGCCAATGTGAGTTACTTTTCCAAGAATTAGTATTTGGCAAAAGAAATTAAAATCTGCAGGATTCATATGCTTTTCTCTTTAGAAAGCTTAGCTTTAAATACATATTCATGTGAAGCTGGTTTAGTTTACTTAGTCTGATCTAGATGATCTTTCTTTTCTGTGCCATGGCCTGTGTCATTGTCCCTAAACAGCCATCCCTCAAACACTTATTGTTGGCCAAAATGGAACATAGTTTAGTGAGTGTAGCTGGGTCAGTATAACCCAGGAGCACTCCTGGAAAAAGCTTTGAATACATGCCTTTTTGGCAGGAGACTGGCAAAATAGTCTCTATATAGGAAATTTAATTCTTTAAACATGTTAAAATATTTCAAAATTGCTAATGTTTAATAAGGGTATGATCATTAAGTGCGTGCAGAATGTGTGACAAGTTGTACAAAAGTACGTTTGTCAGTTGGCAGTACATTCTGCATAACCAAAAATATTTTATTGTGAAATACCTGTTTTCTGTACAGGAATACATTTCCTGTACAGGTCCACTAAAATGCTAGCATTTTTTTTTTGTAAAGATAGGGCTTTTTATGCTAAAGAAAACAATTATGTTCTTGTTCAGCACACAGCACATGTATATGTGTGTGTATATATATATAATAGTCACAACACAAAAATAATGGAGTACCTTGAAATCTTCTCTGGATGTAAGTCTTTATTAACTTGGAGAAGATAATTGTTGATAATTTCTATGTAAATATCAGAAAAATATGGTTCTCGGGTGGCGCCTGTGGCTCAAAGGAGTCGGGCACCAGCCCCATATGCCAGAGATGGCAGGTTCAAACCTGGCCCCGGCCAAAAACTGCCAAAAAAGAAAATAAAAATATGGTTCTCTGCTTTTAAGATAAATTTTAGTATGTTGAACTAAATCTAAAACCTCTAATTTTACAATGTGCTAATTTTATTTATTTACTATTTAAGATAAAACATAGTGACCAGTTATAGTTGAGGAAGCAGAAATGTTTTGTTTTGTGACTTTATCTAGTGATAAAACTTTTAGAAAAGTTGAAAATATAGTTGCCAGTGCTTGTGAAGCTCAGAGAGCACTCATTTAAAATACTGATGACAAACTCAGTCTTATCTCATAAAATAGTTTCTACACATTGAAGATCTCTATCATCTTACGTTACTTTTGAATTTTTTATTCCAAATATAGGAACAGTTTTTTTTAAGATGATTCCCCTGAAGGTAAGTCAAGGGGTGAATAAATGAAAAGAAACATAGTTTTTAATTATCATATTCATTAAGGGCTCTATTAATGAATAGAGTCCTTTCCTTTAATTATTGCCTAGCTTTTGCAAGGCTTGTACGTGCTGAGGATTCCAATATAAACATGATGTTCCTTCGTGAGATTCCAGTCTATAGAAAGACAAATATTTAGACAAGTGAATGGATGTCAGGTAAATTCTAGGTCCTCTCCGAGTAGGGGTGGTTGTTCCAGCTGAACAATCAGTAGGTGATGGTTCTCTTGATTGCGGTGATTTATCCAGAGCATATGCTTTTTAACCCTTTAGGTTTGGTTTTTAATTTGATTTTGTGTATCTATATATTTTTAATTCTTCTAGTCTATTTATAGCTCAGAATATTGTTATGCCCTAGTAATAGATGATGCATATTTGCCACATTCAAGTGGATCGTCTTAGACTGTATGTAGGTTATTTGGCATTTCTTTTTGGATTTTAGTTGCTGATATTTCAAAAATGTGAGCATGTTTCATTGGCTTGTATCCTAGATATTTATCTCTGCAGAATATAGAATATTCAGACCAAAAAAATACTTTGGAAGGCTTCTGAATTGCTAATTAAATATTGTGAGTCATTTTCAACCTATAATTCATTGCTACCTCAAGTATTAAAAACTGAACAAATGTGGCTCAGCGCCTGTGGCTCAAGTGGCTAAGGCGCCAGCCACATACACCTAAGGTGGTGGGTTCGAATCCCCAGCCCGGGCCCACCAAACAACAATGATGGCTGCAACCAAAAAATGGCAAGGCGTTGTGGCGGGCGCCTGTGGTCCCAGCTACTTGGGAGGCTGAGACAGGAGACTCGCTTGAGCCCAGGAGTTGGAGGTTGCTGTGAGTGTAATGCCACGGCACTCTACCCAGGGGTATAGCTTGAGGCTCCGTCTCAAAAAAAAAAAAACAAAAACTGAACAAATGTAATATAGAAAATGAAATTAAGTCACAAAGAGGTAAATATCTGATAAAAATGCTAAAAACTTTATAATTTTTTATTTTATGTAAATATAAAATGAAGGCAGGGAAAGATATTATCATGTATTGTTAGAGTTGTGAAAACACAACTTTAGTGGGGCTAAAGCTCTAACTCAGGAGTGTCCAACCTTGTTTTTTTCCCTCTGTCAGACATTGGAAGAATAAAAGTTTCTTGGGCCACACATTAAATACACAGACACTAACGACACTGATAGCAAAAAAAAAAAAAAAAAAGGTCTGTTTATACTTGTGATTATTTGAGGACACTATAGATAAATAAAAAAAGTCCTCACAAAATCAGCATGCAGCCCACAGGCGTCAGGTTGGATACCCTTGTATTGTTTAAAATTTATGAAGAAATTCATAAATAGTCATGTTTTTAAAATAACATCTGGAAGCTTCAGTGAAAATAATTAGATCCATCAGTAAAATTTGGAAGTAATGTCATCTGTCAAATCATTATCACAAAAGAATATCCTAGATTGAGGTGGGAATAGGAATACAGGAATTTAACTTTGAAAGCCTACTTTTAAAAGAATATCCTGTCTGTAGCTATTGTTGCCAAATACTTTCAAAAGTACCTTGAATTTCTGTGGTTTCTGTTATCTCTAGGCATAAATAAAATAAATTTCTTATTGGACGGGTTCAGTGGAACTGAGGACCATGGTTAACCTGTGGTATTTATATCCATTGTCTAGTCTTAACTGGATTTAAATATTATTGTAATACTTTAAGAGATAGACTAATAAAGATTTCTGTACTATTGTAATTATGTAGAAACTATCAGGCCTTTTGGAAACTATGTAGAAATTGACAGTTGTTGAATGGTTGTGCTGTGCTATTTTGATACTATTTTGAATTAGTGTAACAATGAGGAGCAGTTCTAAATTTGATTGTATCTTGGAAATGTTACTCTTTTGCACATTCTTAGATATTTATCTTATTGTTAGAGGGTAATGACAGAAAAAAAGAATATTGAAATAATAAGTTTAATAAGTTAATAATAAGTTTATTTCCTATCTTTCAGCTTATGTGGAGAAGTTGTTGTGGAAACCACCTATACATCTGTTCACAGAATTTATGGCGGAGCCTCTAAGTAATGGAAGTCGTTCAGAAGAACACTTTTCCCATGTTAAATGTAGATCAGAGAAAGAAGATTTACTACCTTGTGCCAGTGAAAGTCATCTCTGCTGGTATTCTCATCAATATCAGGGGAAATCTAATTTTCTGATTTCTAGATTTCATTCTTGTGTATTATGTAAATCGTTCGAAGCAAATACAGCATCGTTTCAAGAATATCTTCTTCAAATTTAGTATTTATTAAAATATATTTGTTTAATCTGATTACAAATATGCTCAGAATTTGCTAGCTTTTTTGAATCTTAGTGAAAGTAATTAAAAATGAAAACCTTAAGAATTTATAAAGTAAAGCTTTTTAGTTAAATGAAACTATAAATAATATGTGATATTCGAAATGTAGTTAATGAGTATTAATTTACTATCATTTGGTATATTACTATATAACAAATACTTGTCATGTTTTACTTCTTTGGAAAGGGAAATCACTTACTATTTATATTTATCCCCCCACTTGGCAATCTTAAAATACCATTACCGGTGCTATGGGTAGTACTGTCGCTGCAGCTTCGGGTTTAGTTTTTTATAAATTAAAATGAAATTTTGTCATACATTATCATTCTCGAATTTCTGCCCATGGTTTTTGATAAGGGACAGGTGTCACTTATGGCTGGAATCTTCTTAGGCCCGTTACTTAAAGCTGGTAGTGCTTAAGAACATAAGCTACTTTTTGATGTAGCCTCTAAGATGTCATCAATTGTTAATGAGCCATCCCATTATTACTATAAAGAAAGAAGCTGCCAATTAAAGAAAGGCACATTTTTTTATATCATTTGGAATTTTATTTATAAATATTGAAAATGTGCCTTTCGACTTAATTGTACAGGAGAACCTCCATAGTTGACCACCTCCTTAAGTTGACCTAATTTTCACAGACTGGACATGTACCACATGTACATATCAGTACAGTAGGCTTAGTTCCTTGTGGTGACTGTCTCCATATGTTGTCCCATTTGTTACAGTCTCTGGGGTGGTCAACGTACAGAGGTTCTACGGTATGTAGATTTTTTTTTTATTTTTTTTGGCCGGGGCTGGGTTTGTACCCAACACCTCTAGCATATGGGGCCACCAACCTACCCTTTTGAGCCATAGGTGTCACCCCCAGGTATGTAGATTTTTAATCCAAATAACTTGTTTTTGCTTAAAAGTAAAATGTAGGTGTAGTAAGTTAAGGCATTCTCAAAATTTGTTTATACGTAAAATCCAACTCTTTTGAGCCACTTTGTTGTCCTTGCTATTATGTTAAGAGTACTGTCTTGGTGATATGGCATACTTTGGGAGCATTTTTAAATGAAGTGAAATTTTTGGTGCTGGGTGCTTAATGTTGCTAAACATTTCTACTTTGCTAACTCCCCCAATCCCTGTCTATAACCCTTTTTATAAATTTTGAGTATGTGCAAAAATAGATAAAGACTATTTCTTGGCTGATAAAGATTATAAGAAGTGTTCTGATTTCAGTATGTAAAAATGGCAGAAAAATGTATCTTACAATAATAGTAGTATCTAGGTAAAACAAAATCAAGAAGGCAGATACCAGTTTTGTTTAAAATGATGATGTATTTTATAGCCAAATGTGAAGGATATTTTAGATATCTAGAGAACTTTAATTTTTTTCTTTTCCATTAATTTAGGAAACTTCCTATGGAAGTTTCACTATTTGTGAAAAACAGTAAGTTTCAAGAAAAGATTGTGAAATGAGGTCTAGAAAGACAAATCGTTGAGGTCTGGAGGAGGGGTAGGAATGGAAGAAGAAAGACATATGTACATTCACATAAATTGCTTTATAAAGCAGGAAGGGGAAAGTGAATAACCCAAATATAGCACAGTTAAGCATTACTGTTAGTAGCCACTGTGTTTTACATATCTCAGCATTTTAAAAACTGTGTTTCCACGTATAGAAGATGTATAAAAATTATGGAAGTACAAATAGGCAAAAGATGTACACATTTTCAGTGACAATTTACTGCTACATTTTGCAAAGCATTTTACGAAACTGAAATATTTAGTTAGGCCTAGCTATAGTTGCATAAAAAATGTAACTAATTTATAAATTGGAGTATATTTAACTTAAATTTTATTTGTCCACTTGTAATAGCCTGAAGCAGGACATCCTGAATGAAAAGAATGAACTGGAAGCAACACTTAAGGAAGCCGAGTTGGCAGCCCATTCTGTAGAATTACTTTTGCCATTATTTAAGGATACCATTGAAGAGATTAGTTTTGAAAATGTGAGTATGTGACTTGTGAATATCTAATAAAATAAAAAACTGGTATAATACTCAGTGTATTAACTGAGGTTTTCATGTGTTAAGTAGGTATGCTCAGATGCAGGTATTTGATACCCCAAATGAGGGTTTTTTAGTATCTTTTAGTCCTCTGTCACCAACTGCAATTCTTTTCCTAAAAGATAAATCTCAGGCACGTACCTGGTAAGAGGTCAAACTAGAAACTGTGTACCTGGAGTTAAATTAGAGAATTAGCTTCTCTCAAGTATGAATTTAAAACTAAAATCTTCTGAAAGATGAAATCTCTCTATTTTCTATAGTATTACTTGGAATAGAAAACGATTTTTAAATTTTAGTATACTAAAGTTTGAATTAGAGACAAAAGTCAGATTATATTCTATAACTTTTATTAGAGTAAATGCCTGATACTTTTAGAACTTAAGCCCTTATTTTGGTTTCATTTCACTTTCATGTACTGTGTAACAAATCCAATTCACTATTAATAAACTTTGCAAAATTTACTGTTACTATGCACAAAAGAATTATTTTGTTAGAAAAATTTTGGTTTGATACTAGTCTTAAATTTTATAGCATTGTACTTAATGCTGTGTCTTAAAATGTGTCTGTGGCTCTTATATTTTGTCAGGCTAATCTTTCTGCATCCAGTTTGAAGAAGATTTCTGAACAGAAGGAAATATTAACAAACGAATTAGACACTTTTAAGCGTGTAAAACTAGCTTTAGAACATCTTCTTAGAAATTCGGACTATAAACAAGTAAGGCATCAATACTAAGCGTTCATTTAATAGTGATAATTCTCATTTGAAGGGTACATTATTTCTCAAACTGTAGAAATTAAAATATTGATATACTTGAAATGAAAATAATATTTTAATATTATTAAATATTTTTAATTGAATTTTTGAATTAATTGAATTTTTTTGATATAGAAATTATTAAGTTAACCATTTTAATCTTTTGTAAATAGCTCTATAGGAAAATAGCACGTTTGTAACAACTTTATTGAGATACAATTCACATACTATACAGTTCTGCCATTAAAGTATAAAATTCAGTGTTTTCTTAATGCATTCAGTGTTGTGCAGCCATTGCCACACTCAATTTTAGGACATTTTCATTACGCCAGAAAGAAACCTTCTACCCTTTAGTAGTTCACCTGTCATCTCACCCACTCCTCCTCAAAGGAGCCCTCGGCAGGCAGCTTTTCCCTGTGTCTGCCTCTATGGATGCCTATTGTAATTCATATAATGGGATCAATACGTGGTAGTTTGTGACTCCTCCTTTCACTCAGCAAGATGTCTTCAAGGTTCACCCATGCTGTAGCATGCAGCACTACTGAATTCCTCTTTGTTGCTGAATAGCATTCCGTTCTGTGAATAGACCACTTTTATTTATTCATCAGTTGATGGACGTTTGGGTTGTTTCCACTTTTTGGCTGCTGTGAAGAATACTGCTATTAACGTTTATTTACAAATTGTGGTGTAGATAATAGATATTTTTGTTCCTCTTCTATCTGTACCTAGGAGTGGAACTTCTTGACTGACTTATATTTTTTATACACACACATGCAGACCTGCTTTTCCTTTGATCTAGCCCAGGGTTTTCTTTTGACTTAGGATTGTCCTTCTCCACATTTTTTTCTTATCTCTGCACGGCTCATATGCATAACACAATTAGAGCCCATCTTATCAAACATAGGGAGAGTGGGAGTAAGATGAGAGGATGTCACTTCTTTATTAGGAAAAACTGACTTAGAACTTTTGCTAAATCAGGTAAAGAAAACTGAAGCCTAACTTTATAGACATGTGGTCAGGTATGGTATAATTGTTAAGTTAAAAGTATTTAAAAGAATAAATTAGTATTTTTCTTCTCCATTACTACTTGTCATTGATAGGATAACAAGATCAAAATTTTTAACCTGATAGGCTCTGTTAATTCTAACTAGGGTTTGTGAATCCTCTGAAATATTATGTAAAATGTTGTGTATGTTGACTGGAGAGAAGAACTCTACATCAATAATTTTTATTTCTCGGTGTTTATTCTGTTGAATTTTAGAACAAATATAGTTGAAGAAATTAACTTTTGTGATAGGTTTAAAAATCTTGAGCTAATGACAAAAATCACCTAAATTCTTCTGACTCCTTTCTGGTTTTTCCTGTCATAGCATTTTTTAAGAATTATAAAAGCGACTTAATATTAGGTAGCAGTTTTGGTAATTAAAAAGTTTCATGTTCATTATAGAAAATTGACATATGCAGAGAAATTCTAATAACTTTCTCAATTTCAGTATTCAGTGAAATGTCGCTGTCAAGCAGTGTTAATTTGGTGTTGGATATCTTCTTCAGTCTTTTGTTCTATGGCCACATAGAATTCTGTTATTGATTTGCTGTAATTCTTTTTTTTTTGAGACAGAGCCTCAAGCTGTCCCCCTGGGTAGAGTGCTGTGACATCACAGCTCACAGCAACCTCTAACTCCTGGGCTTAAGCAAGTCTCCTGCCTCAGCCTCCCAAGTAGCTGGGACCACAGGCGCCCACCACAATGCCCGGCTATTTTATGGTTGCAGCTGTCGTTGTTGTTTGGTGGGCTGGGGCTGGATTTGAACCCGCCACCTTTGGTGTATGCGGCTGGTGCCTTAGCCACTTGAGCCACAGGCGCCGAGCCAATTCGCTGTAATTCTTTAAGAAATTTCTTGGCTCTGCGCCTGTGGCTCAAGTGGCTAAGGTGCCAGCCACGTACACCTAAGGTGGTGGGTTTGAATCCAGCCTGGGCCCACCTGACAACAATGACGGCTGTAACCAAAAATAGCCAGGCATTGTGGTGAGTGCCTTTGGTCCCAGCTACTTGGGAGGCTGAGGCAGGAGACTCACTTGAGCCCAGGAGTTAGAGGTTCCTGTGAGCTGTGATGCCATGGCACTCTACCCAGGGGGACAGCTTGAGACTTTGTCTCAAAAAAAAAAAAAAAGAAATTTCCTATTGCTAGAATTTTGGTCATTTATAATTCTTGCCTATTTATAAACAGTGATGTGCTGAGGTTCTTTTGTATACAGGATTTTTGCAATTTTTCTGTACATTGGCCTATACTTTCTGAGAGATTCTTTTGAGATTAATTTAGTAAATTAATTTTATAAATTTTGGGCAAAAACTGATTTAGAGTACTTAGGCAAAAATCTTTTCAGTGATTAACTCCTTTACAAATCTTAACTGTGCATAGTAGTTGTGCATACAAATTTCTTTCTCTTTTCTTTTTTTTGAAACAGTCTCAAGCTGTCACTCTGGGTAGAGTGCTGTGGTGTCACAGCTCACAGCAACCTCAAGCTCCTGGGCTCAAGTGATTTTTTTGCCTCAGCCTCCCAAGTAGCTGGGACCACAGGCTCCCACCACAACACCTGGCTATTTTTTTGTTGTTGCAGTTGTTATTGTTGTCATTGTATTTTGGTGGGCCTTGGCTGGGTTCAAACCTGCCAGCTTCTGTATATGGGCCAGGGCCTTACCTGCTGAGCTATGAGCACTGCCCACCATATCAATTTCTTGAAAGGTGCTTATTTTACTTTCTGCATTTATCTAGAAAATTGTAATTAGTGAGCACTGATTTATGATATCCTCTCTTTTACAGACAGGAGACGATTTACCTAGCCTGTTGTTAAAGATTCTAACTGAGGATGGAAGTGAAAATACTGTAAGTCTTTTCACATTTACTTTGTGTCCATTCTTTCTGACTTTTTTGGTTGTATATGACGTTGCTTTATGAAATTAACCACTATCAACTATTATAAACTAAGTTGTGAAATTTCTCAATCTTAAATTATATTAGCTAACGAGTCTTAAGAAGAGGGTACTTGAGAAGGAAACCTATATCCAAGAACTTTCTTGTTTGTTTCAGAATGAAAAGGTAAGCAAATTTTGAGCTTAATTCATCATATGTTCTTATTTTTTGACACCCTCTTCCCTTTCTTCCTATCTTGGCCCAAGTCTTCAGAAATAAATACAGAAATTTTTTTCTTTAAATTCTAGATCATTTGGGTATTTTACAAGTTTTACGTTGTCGAATATAACATCTTAACTTTATTAAGTTGTTGTTTTGAGTTTTATGGTGTTTCAGTTAGATTACTTGGCATAAATCACTCTAAACAAGGAACTCCTAGTAATTTATATTTCAATTTGGGGACAAACTAAGGAATCTTGGTATTTTTAGGAGCATTTTATACATACCTGTAATTTTACTGAGGAGGATAGATGAGAATTTTTAAAATAGAAAATTATCAGAATCCCCGCCAACTTACATGAAATACATTTGTACAGATGGGAGTTTATGTAAAGCAGTGCTTTGCTTTTTTATTAGCATTTTAGTTTGTCTAAGTTGGGGTAAAACTGAAGTTATTGGAGAAGTATATCAACACATTTTTTTTCTCTTTGTTACAGGCAAATGCTTTGAAAGCAAACCGTTTTTCTCAATCAGTAAAAGTAGTACATGATCGACTACAGTTCCAAATTCATAAAAAGGAAGCAGAGAATGATAAGCTAAAAGAATACATAAAGGTTATAAATATTTATCTATATTCGCATAGATATATTACCTGTTTTTATAGTTTAAATGATAAAATTAATTGAAAAGCTATGAATCCATTTCTTAATTCTAGAATTTGGTGGTTTTAAAGTGAGTATTTTAAGTGTTGCCATGGGAAATACATGTTTAAAGGTAAATCTTTTGGCCTACCTAAAGATTTGGGTTCAAATCCCAGTATAAAATTTCTATCACTTTTTATTGCCAAACTAGGAAGGATGTATAGAGATTGAATAACTGTAGAAATCTTTCTTGTTACATAATTAACTTATGTCTGTTGTGGAAAATTTATAAAATATGGAAAATATAAAGGAGGAAATAGAAACTTAAAAACACCAAATCATTGTTAACATTTTAATGTATATTATTTCAGTCTCCTTTCTGCATTTATATATACATGCATATGTACTCTTACACGTTTAAAATGTATAGTCAATAAATGTTTCTTTGTTACACATCAGAATAATTTTAAAATCAGTTAAACTAGCTTTACTTTTCAGAGAGTTGAGTAATCCTTTTGATATTACATATAACTTTGTAGCACTTTAATTGAAAGGAATTTTATGGTTTAATTATTCTGTTAGAGTCAAAGTTACTTTGAGGTAAGAATTTCTACGGTCATTTATTTTTGTCAAAGGAAAAGGAGCAATATTCCCACCTTCAGAGAAGTGCGCACAGACTCAAACACCGTTGAGTAGGAGGACTTCTGAGTCAGATTTCTGTTTGCTTGTGTATTCCTGAATTAGAGTAGATATTTGTAACCTGTGGCAAGTTTCAAAACTGCACCTGTAATTTTTTTTTTTTCCTTTGGTGACAAAAAACTTTTGCCCATTAAAGGGATATTAGCAGCCTTATGGAGGATGTAAATTTTGTCCTTTGTTCCTCCTAGTTATTTTAAGTGTTTTCCCTCCTAGGTTCCCTGTGGGTTCATATCCTAGGGCGCTACAGATGAACTAGTTGGTATTACAGTGCATTCATTGTTTTGGTAAATACAAGAGGGTGCATATGATTTAACATGTCTGATACATGATTTCACGTATTACCACATGAATGATTACAATTTATTTTGCACAGTTTTTAATTAAGTCCTCAAACAACATTTGGGAAAGTTTTGGAAAATACTTTCTTCCATTAAAAACAAAATATTAAATAGTTTTTTTAAAATACGTTCTTTTTTAATCTTTGATAAATTATAAAAAGGAACGTAAGGCTAAAAACCTAAGATTTTGCTATGAAATTCTCCTGTTTAATACTTCTGAGTTTAAATTCCTTTTCACAAATACTACTGTTAAGCGATTAAAGGAAGCTGCCATCCGTTACTGATTTTCCTTCATTCCCTCTCACAGACTTTTGGATTGTAAGGTATTAAGTAATTGGGTATCAGAATTTAGTTCTGTGACTTACATTTTACAGAATTTTTTTTTTTAACACCCTGAACTTGGTTTGGCAACATAAATATGAGATATTTCTTTTTTATTACTGTTGCTGAGTCACCTCATCTTTCTGGATCTTTTAAACATTTTAATTTATATTGTAATTTTCTGAGAATTATCTCAAAGATTGAACCAATTTTTCTTTCTAGATGGTAGCAGTTGTAATTACAAGATTTTCGTATATTTAGAAGAGAAAATTATCTATATAACATGCAACATGTGTGTAGTTCTTTGGAAATAAGAAAAGCAAATAATCCATTTTATGTGTTTATACCTTTGACAAATCACTGAAAGGTTATTTTGAAACTATAAAAATAATTTGATAGTTTCAGTATGCTCCCTGACAGTGCTTAAATTTGGAATTTGATAAATCTTGCCCAGAACAATGTTGAAAAAAAAATTTACCTCACCTTTCATATTTTAAAAGGTTTTTACTTGAGTGTAACAACTATTCATAGTGTGATGCTGACACCCTGTGGATACTTAGAGGAATGACATTGGTATTCGGGGTGGGGTGGGGAGTTGTCCCTTTCTCATAACTAGACTTACTGCTGCATTGCTCTTTGTTTTTCTGTAGCTACTTATTAAGTTTCATAGGAATTTTTTCTTTAGTTTAAGATATATTTTTAAAGATAATTTAAGAATGTGTTGCTTCTTTGTCACTCTTCAAAGAGATCAAGTCTAAAACCTAAGATGTACTTCTTAATTTCAATTTTAGTGGAAAAAGCATAGTTTTTGTTGATTCTAAAGTTAAGTGAAAAGCCCCAGACTTTGCTGCAACTGCTTTGAAAAATTTTTTAAATTAAAACAGCCAAGCAATGGGAGACCAAACTAAATTCTGTAATAATCTCACATTCTTTTCAAGACTACAGAACTTTCAACATGTGAAGGCATTAAACTCTTGCCTTTAAATTCTTATATACTTAATATTCAAATACTTTAAATACAGAGTCTTGAAAGAATTTGAAATAGACAGATGAGAGTTACTACATCCCTCATTCACCCAGCCTAATGTTCCGTCTGTCATTATGTGCCCAAGAGCTATGTGAAGGAGATGGTCACGCTAATGACCACCATCACCTGCAAGGGTAGAAGGCTGTCCTCAAACATCTTTTGCCCTCCCTAATCTTATGAATTTGATAGTCATTAATTTATCTAAACCTGTGTTTGTTCTTAGAATAATGAGCCACTTCCACAACTTTGCTACTCATCACATAAAACAATACTTTTATTGTCTTTAATGTACACTTTCTAATGTCCAGGCATGCCCCCTAATGCTAGTAAATTAAAATCGGATAAATAAATCTTATGTTTATTTCATCTCTACTCTTTATGATCTATAGAGTGTATTCATATCTTCTTTAAGCCTTTATCTTTTGGACTAAAGAGTGCTAATATATTTGGGGAGCTACCAATTCCTTTGCATTTTGGTATCCATTATTGCTTCTATCTCAATGACATTTTTTAAAGTAGTTTTTAAGCTAGTATTGTGTAATATTCTAGATGTGAACTGGAAAAAATTCAAGTTAATGTCAGAAGTTTTAAGGAACTTAGTGTTTGTACCATAATCACCAGTTTTAGTATCTTTAGTAGTAACGGTAGCATTAGTTTGAGGTTGGCTTGGTTCAGTTTGCATTCTTTAACTGTTCACAGAGAAGCATTGGTAAAGTCAGCTTTCTTTACTGTTTCACTTTATATTCATCTTATGAGTAATCATTTTGATAAAAATCTGTGAGGAAGATTATGTACACATTTTTACAATGCTTACACAAACATTGGAGTTCTGAAATAATTGTTGCTAGTATTTTTTAGAGCTTAGAATCCAAGATAGCCAAATGGAACTTGCAACTGAGAATGAATAAGCACGAGGCTGTGGCGATGAAGAAAGCAAGCAGGCAAAAAGTGACAGCTCTAAAAAAAGCGTCTCAGATTTATCAACAAAGGCTCGAACACTTTACAGGAGATATTGAAAACTTTGCTTCCAAAATTAGAGATCAGGTAAGCATTCTTTTTTCATATACTTAGTTTAGTAGTTAAAACTACTTCATGACACTTAATATAATTTTATTCTGAATGCTATTATTGATACTGGGAGAACTTTACTGATACTTTTTGCTTTTGATTTTTATTGTGGAATGTTATGTAAAATATCAAATTTGCAGATTGAATCATATCAGCCATTTTCTTGGGAACTGTACTTAAAGGAAAAGTTCAGTGGTCCCCCCCTCCACACACATCCCCACACTATGGCTACACTATGGCCGATAACACTTCTGTATGTATTTTCCCTTGGAAACTTACAGTGCACGTTGACATAAGTAAAGGCCCTGAGAAGGCTTTCAGCAAAACAGTGTAATCAACAGTAAGAACTCAGAGTTTCCCATACTTACTTAACCACAAACCTCTTCTTTTATACACAAAGCAACTCTTGGAACTTGTTCTGAGGAACACTAGTTTGGGAAATGCTGATTTGTTATTAGACCATATGACTTTATTCAGTAATTACTTCAATCTTTGTAATGCATTTAAAACTATGTGCTGCGTAAACATACCATGCAAAAGATATCTGTGGATATAGTACAGAGTTGAAAAAAGGATTCAGTGCTTTGCTTTTTTTGACAAATTATTACATTTATTCAGTTATGAATTAATATTTTTTTGATGTCTTACTCGTATCCTATCTCTTAAGAATGTGAAGGCCCGTAGAATTATTAGAGGCTTTTAGAAATGGAAACAGAAGAGTTGGTTCTTTTTTTAATCATATGGTTGTCTTTTCTCTTGCCATCTCTTCAGAAAGGCCATTCTGGATTATTCCTTTTAAAACAGTCCTATAACAAGCATATTAATATTTTAATTTTTTTTAAATAGCATTTATTGTAATCTAAAACTATCTCATTTATTTTTTAGTTTGCGTCTATGATTTTTTTTAACTGTTTCCCTCTACTTAAATATCAGTCCTGGGAGGCAGGAGCTTGCTGATCCCCTTCACCTAAGGATACAATTATTAAGAACAGTATCTTAAGTCCAACATAGGAACAGTTCACCAACAGGAGCTAAATAATAGTTCAATAAAGCATGATCTCCTATCTACACAATGGCTGAAATTTACTAAGTACTACACAGAGATCAAGGAAAATGAAGATTTGGGAGGGTCTGTGGTCTTTGGTAATAAGAAGGTCACTATTACTAATTCAGGCACAGTTCAGTGATAAAAGGAAAAGTGAGGAGGCTTTTGCTTTATATCTACATATTTCTAAGACCAGATCAAAGAAGAAATGAGAATTTTGAAAGTGCTGGGGACAACTAATTCTGACAGTGCGCAGGGCCAGGATGCTAAATGCCTTGTAATTCTTCACACTGAAGAATTATCCCATTCCTTCTTTGAAACTTGGACAGATCCTCATTTTGCTTCTGATAGCTTACATGTGCCATTTCTATAAAAAGAAAAAGTAGGCCACCTCAAAAAGTCTCCTCTGGGAAGGTAATTTCTTCATCGACTGGTTCCTAAATCTAGAATGAAATACTAAGTAAGTCATTAATAATTTCTTCTCTAATATGTGAATTTCTTTTTCATTGGTAAAATTTCTAAATGTCTTACTTTGTTATTATATAAGTTCACACTTTATAACATATGCACAACTCATACTTCATAAGTTATATTAAAATCTATTTTACATAAAATGAAAACACAGTACCATTATTTCTTCAGTGTATCAAAAATATTACTGTGAAGAAAACTTGTAATATGCCTTATACATAGTAGATGCTTAATAAATACTTGTTCGAACACACCTATGGAGCATATTGCAAGGGTACAAGTCAAATCTGTCAAGTGTAGACCATATATGTCTTAACACAATAATCAAGTAAATGAGGCAAAAGCTACATTGATTGGGTTGATATAACCATGTCAGATGGTATAAAAAAAAAAAACAACACATTGTACCCCACATATCCATAAATGTAAAAATAAATAAATAAATAAATACTTGTTCAGTGAATGGATGACGGTGGGAAAGAAGGAAGTACCTAATAAATACCTGGGCATTTAATTTGTGTTCCTGACACTGTTGCATCCTAGTGAGTTTGTTTTCCTATAGACTGTAGACAGGGGGCACAGTGTCCGCAGCTCTTTAGGAGGATCTATAAGGAGTCCTTTGCATTATTTATTGACTATCTGCTGTGCTCCAGGAACTATTCAAGGGCCTAGAAATACAGCCTTAAACAAAGTAGACAAAAATCCCTACCTCATGGAGCTCACATAGAAAATGAATGAATGTGCCAGTGCTACCACTTTTATCTCTTTGTGAACATTAGCAGTGCTTGAAGGCTGATGGAATCTAGCAAAGATTCATTACAGCAAAGATAAATGAGATTGCATTACTAAATGTTATGGAGTTGTGGAACTGGGAGAGTTTCTGGTGTACTGTAAAGGGCTTCTTTCTCCTCTGATACTTATGTGGTTATCTTGGGTATGAAGATAAATGAAAAACTCAGTGAAAAGAAAGAAAATTATCTTCATTATTTATGAAATATTGTTTAAGATGGAACTTCCATGTGCATATAAAATATGCAATGTAGAGATTTCATTAAAGTTTACTTTAAAACTTTCCTGTTCAAAGTTATACACTGAAATTTTCCATATTAAGAGTTCCATACTTTTTTGGAAGAATTTGTCCTTGTTTATAATGAATTTGTATTTGGGGTTCTGAGCAAAACAAAAATGTTTTAAAATTACAAGATGAGTACTTTATGCTTTTTTTAGGAAGCCAGGTTATCTGAAACAATTTCAGTTTCCAATGCCTGGAAAAGTCGTTATGAGAAAGTTGTAATGGAAAAAACTGAATTGGAAGTTCAGATTGAAACAATGAAAAAGTAAGAACAAATTTAGGATATTTTTACTATTAGAATAAGGCTTTTTTTAGTTTTGTCCTCTTTTGTTTGTATTTTAATTCTTTTGAATTATATGTGGTAAAGGAACTATCTATATGATTTGATTTTTTTATTTATAATTCTTTAATATTTTCTTCATTATAAAAAGACTATGAAAATAAAAAAGTATGAAAATGTTCATTAAAAATGCATTAGTTTCACATTTTTTACTTACAGATTAGTATTTGATATCTGAATATGTGTCATTTATTATTTTTAGTAAATGTTAATACTACCTTTGTCTTAAATGGAAGTGATATTTCTCTTTTAACAAGAACGTGTAATAAAACAGCTTAGACTTGAATCAAGAGTAAATATATTTTATGATTTGAAATGTATTACTGGTAATTGAACAATAATGAACCTTGAGTATTTTGTTTTAAATGTCTTCTGTATATTCTCTTTACTTTTGTCATTGAAAACTGCTACATATGTATAATTTGCTTTAAAGATTGGTTGTTATTTCCTCAGTTGATCCTTTTATTTAACCTTGTCCCTAAAATTGTATGCCTGTGTGTGAATGAGATTCCTCCTATTCATTGTTATATAAATTTCTGATTACTTTTTGTATGTTCCCTGTTTGAAACATCCTACCAAAGTGATTTCCGAAACACACTTAAAAATGTACTATTCATTTTATAAAGGCAAATCAATAGTCTTCTGGAAGACCTGCAGAAAATGGAAGACCATGGAAAAAATTCATGTGAAGAAATTCTTAGAAAACTTCACTCAATTGAATATGAAAATGAAACTCTAAATCTTGAGAATACAAAATTAAAGGTACTATATATGTGTGTCTGTGCCGGTGTGTATTGTATAATGACAATTTAGTCTACTTAGTAGAAGTATCCTGAAGATACTATGTCTAGAATAGTGCTTTTGGATTGGTTTGTACTTTTTCCTTTTTAGGATATATGTTTTCAACAGAAGTTGACGGTCTCTTTGCCTCAACTTAAAAAAAAAATGATTTACTCTCCAATTTTTGCAGTTACGTGAATGTTCCAAAATTACATTAACTTTAATGCATAAGATTATTTCTAGGTGTCATGGTTACGATAGGATATAACCTCAGGCCGGTCTGTGTGAAACCAGAAAATATGTTCTTGGCTGCTTCATAACTAGAAAGAATTTTCCAACTTAGTCAAATCCAAGGGGTGATTGGTTTGCATGTGTAACCACAGAAGAGGTAGAGAAGAAGCTTTTATATTTTCTGAGAAAAAAGATATTTAATTTCTCAGTTAACCAGAGATACTCGTAACCAGATGAGACTTCACTAAGGATGATGGCACCATTCATTTTCAGTTACATAATACCACTTTTGGAAGACAGAAAACAATATTTTTAAACCATGAAATGAAGTTTGTATGTACAAAATAAATAATGACTTATTAGGAGCATAATATCAGTAGCATAGAGTACATTTTAGAGAAACTTCTACAATAAATATTTAACATTGTTTTGCTGTTTTATAACAGTTTGATTTTGTCACTGTATTAGAGAGAACTAAAAGATGTACATTTACTCTATATGTTAAGACGTTTTTATTAGAGATCTTTCACCTCCTTGGTTAAGTATATTCTTAGGTATTTTATTTTCTTTGCGGCTGTTGTAAATACTATTGAATTCTTGATTTGATTTTCTTGGCTATTATTTGTATTTTATTTCTTTTTTCCTTTATGAGATAGAGTCTCACTCAGTTGCCCTGGGGTCGTTTTTCTATTTTTAGTAGAGACAGGGTCTCGCTTTGCTTAGGCTGGTCTCAAACTCCTGAGCTCAGGTGATCCACCTGCCTCAGCTAGGATTTCAGGTGTGAGTCACCACACCTGGCCTATTTGTGTTTTTTTTCTTTTTTTTGAAACAGAGTCTCACTTTGTCACCCTTGGTGGAGTGCCATGGTGTAATAGCTCATAGCAACCTCATACTCTTGGGCTTAAGCAATCCTCTTGCTTTAGCCTCCCGAGTAGCTGGGACTACAGATGCCTGCCACAGTGCCTGGCTGTTTTTAGAGATGGGGTCTCACTCTTACTCAGGCTGGTCTTGAACCTTTGAACTCAGGCAATCCACTCGCTTCTACCTCCCAAAGTGCTAGGATTACAGGTGTGAATCACCTCACCCGCTTATTTGTGTTTTCTTAATTAAAAAATTCTAATTATTCAATGAGCATATTTCCTCCAACACATGTATTCAGTATTATCTTTGGAAGGAAGAATATTATGCTCATTACAGTAAACTTGGAGACTATAGAAATATAGAAAAAAACCCTTTATCCCACATCCTTTAGAGATAACTATGTTTTGTAATTTTTTTCACAATTGGTATTAAATGATGTCTTGCTTTATTTTAAAATGGGAAAATGTATGAATGTGTATAATAAATAATACAGACTCTTTAAAAACATCTTTCATTACTCTGTAATACATATTCCATGTAGATATTCCATATAGAAGTGTTAGATGATTGACTTAATTATTCCTTCTCTGTTGAACGTTCAGGTTATTTCCAGTCTTTTAACATTTATAAATAATGCTCTGATGAACTTTTTTGTACATTGTCGTGTGGTCTTTAGCTTAGATTCTCATACAGAATTAGAGTCAAAGAAGATGAACATTTTTTAAGTTTTTGATATGTTTTGCCATATTTCTTTTCAAGGTATTTTATTACCCATGCTGTCATTAGCTCTCTACATTTTGTCAGCATTGGAAATGAAATTTGTTTATTTATGGTGTTTGCTAATTTTACAGGTAAAAATAGTAATCTCTGTTTTACTTTGCACTCTGAGGAGCTAGTTTTAAACCTCTAAACTGTTTCTATTTTTGATTCTTCTGATGGTTATCTGCATGTCTCTAAATCACGTAACATTGTTTCTTGATTTATCATTTAGTCATTTGTATTGAATTTCTAGGCTATAGGGCACTAACAAAAATACCAACACAACTAAAAAGATAGCAGATTCTTATAAACACTATAGCAAACATGTAACTTTGCCTTTTTAATAAAAATATGTGACAGTAGTATGATGGAAGAAATTAAAGAACTAAGATTATTATGGATACAAGATTATGAAAATATAGCTAACATACAATCAGCACTTCCAAGATAGGGCACATGACCAAAGAGAAGGAAGAAGAGGAACATGGAGTATTTGGGCTTATTAGAATGCTGTATGCCTCTGTGGCTTGCTGTGTTCAGCTGTTTGTACAGTTTGTATTCAGCTGATAGGTCTTGTGTGTCTGTGCGTGTGTTTAGACAGAGTTTCACTTTGTTGCCCAGGCTAGAGTGCTATGGCACCAGCTTAACTCATTGTGATCTCAAACTCCTGGGTGCAAGTGATCCTCCTGTCTCAGAAGCAGGCTACATGTGCCCATCACAAGACCTGGCTTATTTTTCTAATTTTAGTAGAGATGGGGGGATCTTGCTTTTGCTCAGGCTGGTCTCATGCTCCTGAACTCAGGTGATCCTCCTGCCTCAGTCTCCTAGAGTGTGCTAGAATTACCAGGGCAGCTCAACCTATAGTTTTTCATGGTGCTAATGATTAACAAACTGGAAAAATACTCATTTGAACAAAAGTTGCTTCTTTGTTGTTAATACATTGGCATCATTCCCTTGATTAGCAATGTATGTAGGGTGTCCAGCTTTTTTCTGCTGCATATTGGAAGAATAAGAGTTACCTTGAGCCACATATCCAATACACAAACACTAGTGAAAGCTGATGAGCAAAAAAAAAAGATCCATTCATATTTTTTGCCATGTCTAACACCACAGATGAGCAAAATGGTTCTCAGATAATTTGCATGTGGCCCAGGGGCTGCAGGTTGGACACTCAGGCAAGGTGAGCTTCACTTAATGGAAATGGGAAACAGAGCAGATCATATATCTTGACTTCTTATTTAACATAAGGATATTTCTGTTTTTTCCCTTTTCTATCTGTTCTTTCCACATTCACTTCCCAATACCCTTTCCATTGCTGGTGTTGTTAACATTGACAATTTGTTCTGTTACCTTAAGTGCTCTTTTTCTGTAGTGACGTCTGTGACTTTTGTAAATAAAATTTAGCAAAATACTCACACAACTTTATTTCTGTTCAGCTTTTTAATTTTTGCTATAGTTTCCAAGTACCCTTCTTGCTGTACTGTGACCTTATCATGATAGCTTTTTTTTTTTTTTTTTTTTGCTCAAAGCTCTGCATCCTATTTCTGTTCTCTGGCGCACCTGTTCTCCCAGATTTCTTCAACTTGAGGCCCTCTGTCTTTGAGTCTGAACAGGTTGTTCTCCAGGCCTGCTGCCCAGCTGCCATGCTGGAACTTCCTTCGTCTGCTCTCCTGGTTCTACTGTTTCCTGGATGCCACACTGTCTTTCTTATTCCTTATTTTGCTGGAATATAACCTTCAAATTATCTCCTCTTAAAAAAAGAAAATGGGAAATAAATATCATTTTGATTGATATGTTTAGTATCTCAGATTAAAAGTAATTTTCAGTGAGAACATTGAAAGCTTTGTTCCACTGTCCCCTTTTCTAACAGTCAGACTTGCTGTGGAAGAAGATCTGTTGCCAGACTGTTCCTTATTCCTCTGTGAAATTTTTAAATTTATCTTGAAATGTTTAAGAGATCCCCTTTACCCTTTGGTGTATGGGTCTCTTCTTGTCCACAGTGCTGAGGACTCTATAGACCTTGTAACTCCAAATACTTATGTCCTTTATCCCTGGAAAATTTTCTTGCATTATTTCTTTGGTAATGCTTTCTTTCTCCCCTGCCCTTTTCTATTTTCTCCTGTCTGTCTGGCACACTGTTTGTAATTGTTGATTCATTGGACCTCCTGGATTAATACTCTGTCTTCAGTTTCTGGTGGCTTTTGTTTCATCTTTTGGGAAGAGTTCTTTGGTTTTTACCTTCCAATTTTTCTTCTAAATTTTTAATTTCCAAGAATATTTTTTGTTCTCTGAATGTTCCTACTAAAAAATATCTGAAGATACCTGTAAGAATTATTTTTCCAAATTTTTTTTTTTCACTTTGCCAATGTATGTGTTTCTTCCTGGCTCATTTTCTTTCTTTCCGTCTTTTTTTACGTTAAAAAAATTGGGTCTTTTTCTTTCATGCTGCTGTCTTTCTTTGAAGGTGTGGTGACATTTAAGAATGGAAACAGTAGAAGAACCAGTGAGACAATAGGAAACTAATCTGGATATGTGGGTGCTCCCTGTCACTTAACTGGTCTTGCTTCACTTTTCTCAGCTGTTGAGAAACTAGCAGTTTACTCGGCAGCCTCTAAAGAATGCAAAAAGTAGGCGCATCTTTGCCCTGAGTCAGCAACACCATCCCTGGGTTCTAGTTTTTTTCCCCCAGACAGGTAATTTAGTTTCTTTAGAGAAGTATCTCCCTTATTATGTTTCTTGGGAGGTAAACTTCTCAGTCCCGTGTTGTGCTTGGAGCGTGCCCAGAGGGGAGCTAGAGGGTAATGGTGGTCGGCTGTTCTTTTCACAGGCTTGGAATTAATCCTTTTCAACCCCAGGTCTGATTCTTGCCCTCAGCTCTGTGCCTCTCTAGATTCTCAGGGTAGATGAACTTCCCCCTCAGCTGAGTCCATTCCTGCTTCACTAATCAGTTATCAGTTTTCCAGAAGCATTAAAAATACTTTGTCCTTTGATGGCCTCTGGTCTGTTCTCTGTAAGTGGACTTATAAACATTTTTATTCCTTTATATCAGTTTGGTCTTTAGAAGGAAGGGACATAAACAAATGTGGTTAGTCCTCCTGCAGAAGACGCTTTAATTTTATTTAAACTTAGGA